GTCATTGACATCATTTAATGATCAACACCCACAACCAAATTTCTTGGGCTAAATAATGCACCCTTATGCACACTGTTAGGATGAATCCCCAAATTTGGACTTGTTTCTCTCAAGCATGAACCTCCCTTAAAAAAAATCGAAAGAAGAAGAAACATGCATCTCCCCAAAACATTTTTTTTGCCCCAAAGATTGTATCTCCCAAATGTAGCTCGCATTTTACATCCACAGATCCCCCTTTTTTTGGGGGGGATTTGTTTTGCAAGTTTGTATTTATGTTACAAGCACATTGCTGCTTTATTTTATTTTTTTATAAGCACGGAACTCTGTATTTAAAAAATGAATGCCCACTTCTTTGTGCAAATGTCCAAAATTGAATAGAAAAAGTAATATGCTTTTCATTGGCTACACAAACGCTAAAGAAACTTTTAACCCCCCCCCCCACATCCCCTGATATTTTGAGAAATATTGTCACTTGTAATTCCAAAATTATTATTATTTTTTAATTACTAAAACCATTTTATATTAAAACACAAAATTTGGAGATGGAGGCGAAGGGCAATAATATCCCTAAAAAAATTTAAAATGCTGCCTGATTTTTTTTTTTTAATGCTTCTCATTTTTTTCTAAATTAAAACTTTTTGAAAAATATTACATAAAAACCACTTGATAGCATTAATGTTGAATCAGAAAGAAAATTTATTATACTAAATTCACAAAAAAATTTGATGTCTGCTTTTTTTTGTTTTGCGAAGAAAACTCACATATTGCATTAACGTGGCTTTTTGTTGGCCTGTGACAATATACAGCTTAGCATATAAGTGACAAAGGGTTTACCGTAAACTTCTGATGAACGAGCTTCAATTGAATTTGTGGTCTTGGTTCTCTGTCAGCTGTGGAGGCCATCCAGGAGAACGGCGACGCCAACTGCGAAGTGAAGGAGCCCGTCGATCCACATGCACCTAAGAAATGCGATGTGATTGTGATTTCTGGCCGCAAGGAGCGATGCGAGGCTGCTGCGGAAGCACTGAAGGTTTGTATCAAAACAATCGAGACAAACCGGACGCCTGTTTGATGATGTTGTTTTGGCTAACTTTGTCTGTGGCTCTTAGGCTTTGGTTCCCGTCACCATTGAGGTGGAAGTGCCTTTTGAGCTTCATCGTTACATCATCGGGCAGAAAGGAAGTGGTATTCGCAAGATGATGGACGAATTTGAGGTTAGTAGAAACAGTACTAAAGTCTGGAGGAACTAAAGTATTTTTGGGGGGGGATGTTCAATTATTATCGGTATGTTTTTCAAAGCACAGACAGTTTGTTTTGTTAAAATTTAGACACCTTATCTTAAAACGTCCACACAATTTGGAATGACAATCTCAGCTATGGAATGTGTATTCCATCCTACGCAAAATCAGAATTAATTTGCATCTGTTTACACTGACACACACAAAAAAATCCAATTTTACTGTCTTGTAAATGCAAATGAGTTAAATCCCTCCCGGTAGGTAAATATTCAAGTGCCTGCTCCTGAGCAGCAGTCCGATAAAATCGCCATCACTGGCTTGGCCAACCACCTGGAGCGTGCCAAAGAAGGACTATTGGAGCGCGTCAAGGAGTTGCAGGTCGAGCAGGAAGATCGGGTTGGTGTCGTGACGCTCCGGGAACATTTCGCTGCCCGTCTGAAACGTACGAGAAACATCTTCAACTCATTGTTACCGCACGCAGGCACTCAGGAGCTTCAAACTGACCATCACTGTGGACCCCAAATATCACCCCAAGATCATCGGGCGCAAGGGCGCCATTATTACCAACATCCGCACTGAGCACGATGTTAACATCCAGTTCCCGGAAAAGAATGATGAAAACCAGGTATGATCCCTGTAACTTGTTCTTTTTGGGCTCAATAAATCGCCGTTTTCAGGGCTTTTTCCCCATGCACTGCTGAAAATCGTCCTGGCAACATAGAATTAGGTGGGCATGGCTATCATAAGTAGAATTCACAGAAAAAAGTCTCAAAACATGCTCGGAAGGAAAGGGGAGGAAGGCTGCCACGTTAATGCGAAGATTTTTCAGCTATTTGGACATCGGCGTGTGCCTCAAAGAGGAACTTGAGTGATTTTCGTCAGATTGCTGTGGGGCTGAACAATTACATGAATTCAAATCGACATCTCAAAAGAGAGTGGAAGGGAATTTTCAAATTGCAAAGGCTACAGTTTGGAGGGGAAAACAATTTCAGTTCGGTCGGTAGGCTTTATTTTCTATGCGTGTTGGAGCTCGGAAATCTAGTCGAGTCACATTTATTTTTATGGCCTTTAATCACAAACGATCTGAAAGGGGTTCGTTCACATGCCCACAGTTGACAAATATTAACGGCATTCCCTCACCTTAACTCCTAGGAGGGTAAGGACCCCCCCCCAAAAAAAAATATATAACCGTATTAAAATATTAGTTTTAAGTGCTTCGGGGATGTGCTGATGGCAGGAGAAGTCAAAACATTCATAAACGTTACAGGGTCCGACATTAATCCTTTTTGATGAGTGGTCTTGTTTAAAAAAAAAAAAATGTAATGCTAACTAAAATATGATCGTGATTTATCTGTCAACTGTTCCATCCGTACTATATACATGTTAGACAGACGGGTCAGGCTGTAGTTCAGGCAGTTTGAGTTATTTTTTTTTCTCTTCTCTCCACAGGACCAGATTACCATTACAGGGTATGAGCACAAAGCCATAGCTGCAGGCGACGCCATCCAGGCCATCGTGGGGGAGCTGGAGGAGATGATCTCTGAGGACATCACTCTGGACAGCAGGGTCCACGCGCGCATCATCGGCGCCCGTGGAAAGGGCATTCGCCGCATCATGGATGAATTCAAGGTGCGTAGGGCAAGTTCTACTTAGCGGTTCATTTACACTCTCTTTTTGGAAAGTGCAATATGATTGCATGCTGCTTTCCTTCTGAAATCCACGTTTTGTTCTGTTTTCTGGAATGGATGAGTAGCATTTCAATGCAGAAATATTGTGGTCACGGAACAAGTCAAACTACCGTATATTTCCACTCTTGTCCTTTTCCAGGTTGATCTCAGGTTTCCTCAGAGCGGAGCCGCCGACCCCAACCTGGTGACAGTGACGGGTCGTCCCGAGCTGGTGGACGAAGCCATCGACCACCTGCTGAACCTCGAAGAAGAATACGTGAGTTTATTATTGTTTTTTTTTTCCCCTCACCTCTTTTTTTGGTGTGGTCGTGGATATTAATGCAATTTGGGTTTCAGCTGGCAGACGTGGTTGAGAATGAGGCAAAAATGGCGTACATGAGGCCCTCGGGGGGCAGCCACGCGGCCGCTGATGAGAATCGCGGCCCGTCTAAAGGTTTCGTGGTGAGGGAGGCTCCTTGGACCACCGGCAACGAGAAGGTGAGCCTTTCACTTTCTCTGCTGTCTTGTTCATTTAAAATGTCCTGTTCAGGAACACGTCAAAAAAGCGCAACTTTTCTGATTTGCCTTCAAGAGCACCAGTTTTTTTTTTTTTTTTAATTTACTGCTTGAAATTGTGAATGTTGCATAAAAAAATAACAAAGTCAAGGACAATTGGTATTGATTTGTGGGTCGGGGTGGGGGGCGGGGATTTGGACCTAGTGTGTTTCCACTGGACAGCAACGATACAAATTTTATAGGTATTGAACGTCAAGATTTTTCACTTATTTTAATGGTTGTTTGTTTGTTTGTTTGTTTGTTTTAATGTATAAATAGGCTCCTGACATGAGCAGCTCCGAGGACTTCCCCAGCTTCGGGGCCCCGGTGGCCGCCGCCAAGGCCTCCCCATGGGGGCCTAAACGCTTTTAAAGAACATCATCTTCACCCAGCCACAATCTTCCCCTGTCCGCACCCCAGAAAACCTTTCCCCACCCCTCCTGGACTGACCGCTGACCCCTTCAAAGTCCCTCAGTACTCGCTCACCCGTCAGTGCTTCAAAAAAAAAATAAAAATCCTGACATGTTCATTTTTTTGGTAGGGCTGCCGTTTTAATCCAGAGTTCTTTTGGGAGGGGGGGGCAGCTCTATTAGTCCCACCCGGTACACTCGTGTTCAAGTATTTGTTATTTGTGCGTCCATCTACTTGTGACACCTCGTCGCCTTATGGTTCACTTTGACGCAAAACTGCCAGATGCTTGGAGATGATGCAACTTCCTTTAAATTAAAAAAATAAATAAAAAAAAAAAAAAAAAAAAAAAAACACAAATTCACCTCTGGCGCATCAAACCTACACCTTGTGAAGTTTAAATGTGTTTCAAACCTGTTGGAGGGGTCACACTATTTAAAAAAAAAAAAAAAAAAAAAAAAGCTGAAAAATAATGACATCATGTGTCGACAGTCATCTCGTCCGATGTTTGGGGGTCAGTGTCCAGTCCAGTTTGTCTTCCAGTTGCTCGGCAGATTTTCTGTTTTACAGCAATGACCCCCAATTTTTTTTTTTTTTTTTTTTCCAAAAACATCAGCCTTAAAGACTAGGAGGTTGTAAACCAGGGCGGTGGTGACGTTGGTTGATGTTGATTTTATTTTTCTCCGGAGAGCTAAAGTTGAGCACGCTGAAGGTCATCCCGCCTGCGTTTGCATCACCTCCTAGCTACCATGGAAAGTTATGCAAATGAAGTGTGAACGGTTACGGATGACACTGGAAAATAAACTGTCCAAAAATGTCAATAAAAATGGAAAATCTTTGTGTACCCGCCTGTCTTAATGTCATTGCATATTTGGAGGTCGGGGGCAGCAGTTAAAGCTTTTAGTGGGCAACTTCAGAAATATTAAAGCCTTTAGTTTGAAATCTTAACTACCTTACGATACATGTTCAGGCAAATCAAATTTTTTTTTTCAATGTTCTTTTAAATTTTCTTTTTTAGGGCATCGGCGGAGGTGCAATAGCTTCAGAAAACAAAAACAAATTTGAACCTGCTGAAAGAAATCAAAAATCGAACAATACATATTTTTTTATTTTATTTCGCTCACTTATAAATGAGGACCTTCAACTGGATTTAAAAGCATATGGAAAATTTGCTGCATAGCTGTCATTTCTCTTCAAGTCAAACGTGTCAAATGTTTTCGTCCTTCAAGGCGTCCCGTCGACGTCTCAAAATTGGAGCAAGTTTTACGCATGCGCAGTAACCCGCAACGCTGAACTTGCCAACAAAGCTAACCAGAGCAGAAAGCTAACGCGACTGCGTTTAAAAAAAAAATGTGTAAAGTCCGAATTTTGAGAACGTTGATGAAGCAGCGACTAAACGTGGCTGTCGATGAGATATTTGAACTGTTTGAGAGAACCATAGCGGAGTACGAGGAGGAGCTTTGTCGGACCAAAGAGGAAAAAGAGCGACAAGGCGAACTACTGCACGCTGTTCTTAAACCTCAAGTTCTACTACACAGAGCAGGTTGGTTAACTATAGTTCTCTGCTCACATGTTCAGTGACTCTGTATATATTTTATACGGCACAGTCAAAAACGCTTAATGTACGTGTACAAAAGCTTAACGTGGCCTTAACCTTCGAAAAATACGACCAATCACCGAAATTCACATGCCCAACATCATCTACGTCCACTTCATCCTCTGAAAAGATCGAATCGAGCCTAATAATGCTTGATGAACAAAACGGTGCAAATGTTTTCTTTTGATGAAACACAAAAGATATTCAGTTTGCCTTGATGAAGAACCACAGAAATTAGAATACCTTTGCTAGGCTGAAATCACAGTTTGGATCATTTTTAGTTCATGGCTCTAAATGATTCATTAATTATCAAAATAGTTGTCTGTTGATTTGACCATCAATTAATTGTTGACCAATAGATGTAATTGCGACACCGCTGGTTTGTATTGGTATTAGTATTAGTTTTAGTTTTTTGTTTTTTTTAAATGGAGTTTTTCCTTCATCAGTATGACTGTACAGCAAGACCAAAGTAAATATCTGCATTTAAAATGAGTCCTGGCAAAGACGAAATCGGAGAATATTTTCGCTTCAATTATAGTTACTTTTAGATTGTTTTTATAAATCTAAGATGCAATTTCAGTTATCGTTTTTTTTTAATCCCATCAACGAAAGTGTTTTTTCACTTTTAGTTGTACTTATTTTGTCAGTTTTTGTGAGCTATTACTATCTTGATCCCTAATGAATATTAATATTTTGGCCCAGCAATAACCTGAAATTTGTTCCAAAATTCTAGTCATCCCAACATCCCATCTGCATTTGCTTCCCTCGTCTGGCGAAGACATTCAGCAGATGTCGGCGGATAGTCAAGAAGAAAAGCAGCAGGAGGAGGAGACGGCAGAGCCCCCCCACATTAAGAAAGAGGAGGATGGAGAGTCGCTTCAATGCCCGAAAGACGATGCTGATATCAACACGTTCGTATGGACTGGTGTCCACGTGAAGTGCGAAGTTGATGAAGGTCAATCGTCACAGCTTCGTCACACTCCGCATGAGAATTTAAGTCAACGCGCGATAACAGAAAGTGATGGAGTACTCTGTGAAGCGTCACAGACAGGCTACATTGCTCCACTCTCAGATATGGATGACGTGTCAAACTCCTCTGACACTGATCACAGCGACACCGAACCTTTGGAGACTCAAAACAAATCGAAAGGCCGTTTGACGCATCACGCTGTCCGCAATAAATTCAACTGCTCTCAATGTGAGAAAACGTTTGCCAACAAAAGAGCGTTGAAAAGTCACGCGGTATCGCACATGGGAGTGAAACCTTTCGCTTGCTCCCTTTGCGAGAAAAGATTCTCCTTCAAACGGAATGTCAAAAGACACATGAGAAGGCATACGGGGGAGAAACCCTTTACATGCTCTGTTTGCGCGCGAAGGTTTCACGACAAAGATGACATGAAGACACACATGACGATACACACTGGTGTGAAACCTTTCCCGTGCGCGGTTTGCGGCAAAACGTTTTCTCGTCAGTCGTATTTGCGGACGCACATAAGAACGCACACCGGGGAGAAGCCCTTTACGTGCGCAGTTTGTGCGAAGCGCTTCGCTCGTACGACGTCGCTCAGAAGACATGCGAGGAAACACTCAGCGGAGAAACCTCTCGGTTGCTCAGGTGAACGCATGACCCAACAGAAGCTGACGGGGAATACTTGAACTACTCCGAATGTGTCAAAATGTTTTGAAAACACCTGTGAGGACGGGCACTGAGAAACAATGGGGGAAATGGTAGGGCTGAAGCATTTGAAAATGAAAAGAATCTAATTGTGGGTTTTTTGTTGTTGTTGTTGTTGTTTTCAAAATTGTATTCCACTACACTGTGATTGTTGCTTTGAATTCAACAAATTGTTTCGCCCTACTATTTAAGTTGGTTAATAGTGTATGGGTTGGTTCTCTGTGGGCGGCCCAAGTACTATTATTACTCTAATTGGCTTTTTTTTTAACTTAAAAATTGGATGAGTGTTGGTTTTGTATTTGTTGCCTCATCTTTCCACACAGTAAATCATACATAGCAATAGCAGTAAACAGTAAAGTGTGTGTAATGACTTATTATTCAAGACATCCTTAGTTTTATATAAAATATCTAAATTTTTTTTTTTTTTTTTACAT